GAAAAACTTCAGATTTAAGGGGAAAAACAGGGATTTCTGGGAGAAAACCCCAGATTTAAGGAGAAAAAATAGGGATTTTCTAGCAGGAAAAGCCATATTTAAGGGAAAATACCCCAGATTTAAGGGGAAAAAGAGGGATTCTGGGAGAAAACCCCAGATTGAATGGAAAAACAGAGATTTCTAGCAGAAAAAGTCAAATTTAAGGGGAAAACCCCCAGATTTGAGGGGAAAAGCAGGGATTTCTAGCAGAAAAAGCCATATTTAAGGGGGAAAACCCCAGATTTAATGGGAAAAACTGGGATTTCTGGGAGAAAAAAAACAATATTTCATGGGAAATACCCCAGATTTAAGGGGAAAAACAGGGATTTCCTAGTAGGAAAGCCGTATCTAAGAAGAAAAGCACCAGATTTAAGGGGGAAAAACCCCAGATTTAAGAAAAAAAACAGGGATTTCTTGCTGAAAAAGCCATATTTAAGGGGAAATACCCCAGATTTAAAGGGAAAAACTGGATTTTCTGAGAGAAATCCCCAGATTTAAGGGAAAAAACCTCAGAGACTCGGAAAGTTTTGTGGAGAACTCGCTGGGATGTATTCACGTAGGTAATGTTTGAGCGCCCAGACGCTCAATGTTTGCGCCGCAGGAAGAGGCGCTGGATGCTGAAATGGAAGCCGGGGCTTCTGTCTCCCAGCAGGCAGGCGTCGTCAGCTCCACTCTGGAGCGCGCCGTTGTTTGCGCTGACCTCAGGACATCCCTGAGCGTGCCCTGAGTGTTGTGTGCTGCGTGGCCCAGCCCCAGAAGGGGATTCCCACATGGCAGGAGGGAGAGGGTGAAGAGCCTGAGGGCCCTTTCCTCGGCTTCGGCTCCTCTGTGCCCTGTTGCTGGCCGCAGAGAAGGGCTGCCCGCTGGGCACAGGGAGCGCCTTCTAGCCGCTGTCCCGTGCCCTGCAGCCCCCTCCTCATCCTGTGCGGAACACCACTCCCAAAACAGGTGCCATTGTGGAACCTTCCCCATGTCACAGCTGTCACCTTGGTCACTGCTGCCCCACCCGGAGCACTTGTCTCTGAGAGTGGTGGGCAGGTGGCAGCCATGTCCAGCACGAAGAGAGCGAGAGAGGAGGAGAGAGTGGTTTTAAATGGGAAGAGGGAGCTGGGGGCCCCAGAACCGAAGAGGAGGAGGGGGCCCACCATGACCATCAGGCAGCGGAGGGAGAGGAGGAAGGGAGCCCGGTTCCATCGCGCCCGGGCCAGCGCTGTGAGTGACCATGGGGAGCCCATGGAGGTGGATCCGCCTCCAGAGGAGCCCATGGAGGTGGATCCGCCTCCAGAGGAACCCATGGAGGTGGATCCGCCTGCGGCACAGCTGGCCTGGCACCACACCACCGTGCCAGGCCCTGTGTTGGCGCGGTCACAGCTCCGCCATCGCTGGTCCGGGCGCTCGGCTCCCTACCCGCTGCGTGGCCCCCGCCCCCGGCATTAGCTGGGTGGCATTGCTAACATCTGCTCCTCCTCCACCTTGTTGCTCCTCTGCGGTTCTGCGGGCCCCCGGTTCCATCTTCCCCCCGTAGGAGTTAGGTCCCACTTCTGGGCTTTGTTGTTGATTTTAGTGTTAGCTTAGTTTTAGTGTTCAGTTCAGTTTTAGCATTAGGCATAGGTTACTGTTAGGAGTTGAGGGTTAGGCATAGGTTACTGATAGGAGTTTAGAGTTAGGCATAGGTTGCTGCTGCCAACTGGCAGTAAATGCTGCTCACTCGGTAAGCCCTCCTCGAGTTCTCATGCAGAGAAATGAGTGTGACTGCCCTGAGAAGGGAGGTTTGAGGACGTCTGCAATGAATTGAATTTCCGTCTTGTGACTTTTCTGTTGCAGAACATCGAGGCATGTGAGTGGCTGAGAAATGGAGTTGGGACTCAGGGGAGCAATCGAGCAATGGGTGCCTGTGTCACAACCTTCCTGAGCGGCCCTTGCAAGGTAGGTGTGCCTTACTGTGAGCGTACGCTAAGGCACTGCTGTTCAAACACAGCTGGTGGCACTGTCTGCAGCAGGTCTGCTTTCTGTTAAGCTTTGCCCTTCTTTTGTGTCCTCCTGTCCTTTTCAGCTCCTGCTCCCCTCGCCTGCAAGTGGAGCAATGCTCAAGTTTGAGGAATCTTTTCCTCGGCAGGTGGTAAAAGACGACGCAGCTGCAAGTTTCGTGTCCTTTGTTCTTGGGTCAGTAGACCAAGGAGATGCTCAGAACAGCTCTAAGTCAGCCTGTAACAGCAGTGTGCGTGAGAGAATAAAGACTCCTTCTCTCCTCTTGTAGAAAGCAGCCTCCTTGAGAGCAGGAGAGCAGCAGGCTGCCTGCTGTGTGGTGCTGAAGGGCATTTCTCCCAGCTGAGATCCCCGAGCCCACGCTGGCGGAGAACGTGCTGCGCCACCATCTCTTCTGTGGAGCCACTTTGCAGCTGCTCTGTGCGCTGGCTGTAATCGTGCCAGTTTCCAGGTGCCATAAGCCAGTAAGTCGTGCTCTCTGAGGCTGATAGAAAGGCACAGGCAATGGGCAGGGAGGGAACAATCTGTAGCTGTGGCCTACGGTGGTGTGCCTGGCACTGCTGAGAGTGCCATCGTTTGTCCTGCCCTTCCTTCCATGTGCGCATGTTCCTGATGTACGCCAGAAGCCTTGGGGTGCAAGCTCATCTGCTGCTGCTGTGCTGTGCTGTGTGTGCTGCCAGGCAGTGTCCAAGCCCTGTGCAGGC